TCCTTCTCCTTCTTCCCGTCGCTCTTTCGATGACCATCCTTCCTTCGATCATCCTGAAGTTTGTGATCCACACTATCCCGGTCCAATACGACGCTCTCGCGACCTTTAGTCGCCGTCTTATCGATCGACGTCTGTATAACGTCTAGCCGTACATTATCTTGAGCTCGCTCAACAAGTGCCTTCGTTCTCGACTTCTTGCCTTCTTCTTTCTTTTTCTCCTTGTCCTCACTGCTACTCTTGAACCATTTCCACGCGCTGCTTGTTGATCTGGTGGATGCGGAATCGTCATCCTTGTCCTTCTTTGATTTCTTATCGGTCTTTTTCTCGTCATGACTGTTGAAGGTAGGAATGAAGGCCAGACTATCAGTTCTTGAGGAGCTATTTCCGCCATAAGAATTAGAGTTCCCTGCAATCTGCTCGTTTAAGTTTTGTGGAGCATTAGGCGCTGGCTTTGTGTATTGCTGAGAAGGAGATGCATTCTGGCTCAGTTTGCGTCGAGATGACTTTGGTGGCAACTCAGAAGGAATGGGTTCCTGGGCAGGTTCTGGCGAGCGCACTGATCCCTCTCGAGAAGGTGAGCCCGTTTCTTTGTCTTGTTCCGCTGTAGCCTCGGAAGCCCGCGGGCTGTATTCAGAAGTTGAAGCATATATCGCTGGCTCATGTGAATTTTGAGACGATGACTGCGTTGGCGGCCTCTCGGCTCTTGGCGAAGGGCTGTCGAGTGCAGCTGAAGCCTCCGCAGATTCTCGAGTAAGCTCAGGTGAACGAGCTGAGGATCTCGACTGGTCTTCGGAAATGGGCTCTGATTGTACTCTCGTAATCGCGTGTCCTGGTGGAGCTGGCAGTGGCGGGATTCCCGAGTCCTCACTCTCCTGGTGACGATGGACCACGCGTCTGGAGAAAGGCCTTTCTCCTGAACGTAAACTTCCACCTTTGCGGTATGTAGTCCTGGTAGATCTTCGAAGACCCATGCCGGGAGGCATTGGCAAAATAGGCCTATCGTCAGGGTTGCCTTCCGCACCCTCGCTGGCAGCCTGGGATTCTTGAGCGAGCCTTTTCACAGCTTTAGTTGGGTCCTTAACAAGGTCTTCTAGACTGAGTTCGGAATTCTGTCGTGCTCGTTGCGATCTTTGTCGTTCAAGTCTTTCAGCACCATCAACATATCCCGAGGCACCTTGGCCTGTATTGTTCACAATCTGCCTCGAAAGCTTTGACTTTTGTCGCCTCAGGGACTGACCCACTCCTAGTGATGAGCCTGAGTTGGAAGGGCCGAGGTCTCCGTCACCAAATCCCATATCTCTCGACTTCCTGCGTATCGATTGGACTCGAGTTTCAAGAAATGACTTGAATTCCGTGGGTGCCAGTTCTGGGTGAACTCTCGCGGGCACCCAGAGTAAACGTGAAGGATCGGCCTCATCATCATCACCAGTTGGTGCAACCAGGGGGATGCTCGAGAGAGACATCTGAGGCATGTCCGGATCTTTAATATTCCCCACATCCATTGACATCCGCCTGAGTGCTTGTAGATTACTCAATTCCTGGGCAATATCGTTCGCATTATCAATATTTGTCAGCGTGTATTGAGAGGTAGCCGCATCCGCTTGCACGTCTCGGAGAGACAGAGGTGGTGATCGTGGTGATTTTGGACCATTCTCAAGAGAGCCTTTGCGTTGACCCTGGAGCATCGCTGGAGGCGACTTTTTGAGACTCCCTCGTTCGCCGTTGAACAAGGGCGATGTTGGCTCTGACGCCGCCCTGTTTGTTTGTCTCGACGCATCGGGTGACAAAAGATCTCTGTTCTGTGGTACAAAATGGATTTGTTCGGAAAAAGGCGAGCCGCCAATGAAACTCAACGGTCGGTTCACGTTGTCTGTCAGCGGTGGTTCATCTTCGTCGCCATAGAGTGTGCCAATCGCTTCGGTAACATGATGGCTAGGATCCGAGATGGAGAGTTGACTAGCATGACCGCGCCGGTTGGCGAAGCTGCCGCCAACCTGACCGCCGAGCCGAGGTGAGGTCTGCATAATTCAGTGAGTTAGCCTCTATGTTCGTTCCGTATGCGAAACTACCATGCCGCAGAACAAGTGTTTCGCCAGATAAGGTATCTGGGATAAGAGAGCATTTGGAGGGAAATGAAAGGGGCCGAAAGGCTTATCACATCTCAGCCTGGCCGGCCTGCTGCGGAATATCACTAAGGTCACTCACCATCATCGAAAATGAGGACGAGCCTCACGAGAGGCTGAGGCGCTGGCAAGTCCCCTTCAGACAGCTGAGTCCTACAGCTCCTAGATACGACGGTGAAGTTATTTCAGCCCGTTCATGGGCAGAGCGTCACCACAGGAAAGTGGGCGCACACCTGCTGTTGAAATCGCTGAGAAGGGAGAGGTCGAACACCTCCTTTTGTCGTTTGCTTCGCCTATGATCGCATGGAGATGGTGATGGTCCAGATGCCAAGAGACCTCAAGATCGGCGGAGGGAGATTCTGGCGGCCGTAGTCGAGTCGGATACCGATGGTCTGTGGCTGTAGAATGTCGATATCGGTTGCTGGGTCTCGATACTGGGTGGCCGTGATAAGTCCGTATGCTCGCCAAGTGGATATGGATGTCAGATGAGTTACCTGGATGAGGCCAAGGGTGACAATTGGCTTGCTCCGCATTAGCGCGCGCTCTTAGTGAAGGATGCCACGCTTCAGGCAGGTTTTGGTGCTGTCAAGCCTGGCTCCAGTCACGTGCAGCTCTCTTCAGCGGATCGCGGTATCTGTCATGCGCTGAGTCTTGCGTTGGGAAGTGCCCCTCCATTGCTTCAGGTGGTAATTTGGGTCCGGTAATTGCAGTACCACTCAGGCTGTTGGGCGCCCAAAGAGCTACGTCTAGTCCGAAACTCACGCGCGAAAGTACCTCGTATTATTTTCCACCTTGGGACGAAACATGAATCTTCATGACCACACTCTTATTAGCGTTCACGGGAACATTAAGCACGATACATGAGGACCCCCAGATGATTTCAGTGCACCCTCGACAAGACAAAAATGAAGCAGTAAAGAATGAAGTCACTCGCGTCCTGCCCTTGTTGGCGGCAAGCATTCCTGGTCTGCTTGCAACCAATCGGAGGCGCTCTTCAACTGTTTTGCATCTACCTACGTAATGTCCTAATGCATGCCTTGTCTTGGATCGTTTTCCTTCTTCAGGCAGCCGGTCGAACCCTGAGCAATGCAAACAATTCATTCAAGTATTCACCCAAGTACAAGTTTTCAGGCGATAATGAAAGATGGGTATTACGTCACAGAGATATTATCATTGTCTCGGAGAACGGAGCGACGCGATGTTCTAGTTCCAGAAGTTTCCTAGCACTGTAACTTGATGACCACATTCTTTCCAATCTTGCCTTCCTGTTACTTCAACATGCGCGCAAGTGGCCCTAGTACTTTAAGTCTCCGACTATATGCTCGAATGCAATCGCTTGTGGTACCTCATAGGTACTTGAACATTTTTGGGCTTCACCATGCTGTCCGATAAGAAACCAAGTGAGATTTCCGCTCGAGTTCGCGGAACTTAGCGGCTGGTTTGTAATGAAACTATGCTTTCGATTTTTGGCACGGCACAAGTTCGTTTTATACAGTGCAGTGCGGGGGACAAATATGATGCCGTGTTATTTTAGTTTTAAAGAACGTACACTGAGGCTTACCAGTGAGTTATATCTAACAAATAAGTCATACAGAGTCTGTTCCAACAGTCTACTTCTTAGCCTCCTCCTTCTTCTCCTCGGGCTTTGGTGTGGGCAATTTGAACGACTCGGGTGTCCGGGTGTCACCTGGCCCAACCTGCTCCCAAACACTAGAGCCACCCTCAAAGTTTCGGAAAGCTTGGGTGAGTTCCAGCGGTTCGGTGACAATACGCTTCTTCTCCTCATCGTAGCGAACCTCGGTGTAGCCGGTAAGAGGGAAGTCCTTGCGTAGAGGGTGGCCTTCAAAGCCATAGTCTGTCATGATGCGGCGGAGATCGGGGTGACCAGCAAAGAAGACACCAAACATGTCATATACCTCACGCTCGTACCAATTGGCACCGCCAAACAAGGTGGTAATGCTGGGGACGGGAGTGGCCTCGTCTGCGTATGTCTTGACTCGGATTCTAGAGTTATGGCGAACGGAGAGAAGGTTGTAGACAATTTCGAATCGGTTGTCCCGAGTCGGGAAGTCGGCAGCTGTGACAGCGCTGACTTGTGTAAACTCGGCAGCGGTGTTGTCTTCGGGTCGGAAAATTAGTTAAAAAACCTAAATGAGTGATTATTGTGCACTAACATTTGAGGAAAGAAAACACCGGGATGACGCCTGAAGGCGAGATGTAGATCGTGAGCTCGTCCTTCCAGACCGAGAATTGCTGGACATATTTGGGGAGGCAGCCCATCAGCCACGCGCCATATCGATGGAGGTTATCCGCCTTGCTTTGATATTTGTCGGCTGGGTTGACAATTGGCGCTTTGAGAGTTCCGATATGGTCGCGGGGGGCTTTTCGCATGTTCGGAGAGTCCTTGCCAATTGCGACAAATTGAGCGGCACTGACGGAGAGGCAACGGACAGCCTGTTCGCCCCGGGAGGCCTTCACGGGTCGTAAAGCTGAGGCCAAGGCCCCGCTTCGGGACAATCTACTCGCCATGGCCGAAATTAAGAGGTTCTAAGACCAATTGTCGATTCGAGGGTTTCACCGAGGTCGTGATGAGGTTATCTGGAAGCAGGAGCCCTGAGTGAAATGCAGCTCTCGCTGTTGGACGGGATTCCCGAATATTTGCCGGCGTGTACTTTCGAAGGTGTCGCGCTAAGTCATGTGATAGTAAATTGGAGCTAGACCTATAAGAGACTAGCTTAGCCTACTTCTTCTTTCCTAGGCCTGGCCTTTGTGCTAGTGATGAATGTCCCTTAACGATCCTAACTTTTCTTTAATCAGCTCCCTACCAACACCTCATACCTAATCATCATCATACTCCCCTTTGATACCACAAAAATCATGGCACCACAGGATTCTTTTATCGAGGAAGAGGGCGATACATGGTATGTCGTGCGGCTACGCTTTGTCGAGCGCGTTGCAACTCCCGTTATTTTCGTTGGGTAGCATTAGGAACACGAAGCTAACAGCCAAAAGCCCTCTCTGCATAGAGGATTTCGATCTTTCAGATCGGAATTTCCGGCCATGTCCTTGTGGATATCAGGTACAGAATCCTTGCAGGAACCTTGACAGGCTCATATGTCGGACTAACTCTGTCGCAGGTTTGCCAGTTCTGTTTTAATAATATCAAAAATAATATGAACGGCCTCTGCCCAGCTTGTCGACGCCCCTACGATGAGAAAACGATACAATACAAAGTCGTCACAACAGAAGAGTATGCACAATATATTTCGACCACGACAACCTTGCGTGCTGACTGAATTTTAGGGTGGCTGAATTCCGTGCAAACATCCAGAAAAATCAAAAGAAGCGAGCCCAGGAGCAACGACAGAAAGAGGCCCAAAAGCGGGAAGCCGAGAAGGAGAACCGCAAAAATTTGGTCGGAGTGCGAGTGGTCCAGAAAAACCTAGTGTACATCACAGGTCTCGCGCCGACAGTGCGGGAGGATGAGCTGCTCAAAACACTACGGAAACCTGAATTTTTCGGCCAGTACGGCAATATTCAGAAAATCTCCATCAGCAATAGGAAGAGCTCGGATGGGCAACATCAGTCACTCGGTATCTACGTGACCTTCGAGAAACCGGAAGAAGCCACAAAGTGTATCCAAGCCGTCCACGGCTCACAGAACGGCGATCGGTACCTAAAGGCTCAGCATGGGACGACGAAGTACTGTTCGGCATGGTTGAAGAACGAGAAGTGTAATAACCCTGGATGCATGTTCCTTCATGAGCAAGGCGACGACGAGGATAGCTACACTCGTCAAGACTTATCCTCTATGAACAGCATACATACCCAGAGGCCACTCCCTGGTGGAGGAAGCAGCGGCTCCTCACGGGTCGCGTCTCGACAGCTTTCCCACCCTACGCCGCCGCCGCAGCCGCAGCCCCAACCTGCCGCTCAAGCCATGGCTCGATCTGTGAGCAAAGACGGGTCTGATGGTGGTGTAGACTCATCTGCTTTACCATCTTCGGCGAACTGGGCTCGAAATCCACAGCGCAGTCGTCGCGGAAGCCATGCTACCAGCGCTGCTGCATCGAGTCCGGCCGTATCTGCCGCCTTAGTAGCCACGGCAAAGGTTCAAGTTCAAGAGGAAGCAGTCGAGGATCCTGAGCCGGCAACTCAGCAAGAGTCCAGTCCCCAGCTGCAACTCCAAAAGAAGCCATCCGAAGAGTCCTGGCGGTCTGTTCCAGAAACCTCGCTCAAGGCTTTGATCAAGATCCTTCACGAATGCCCGTTCCCCGACTTTCGAAATGCGCTCCTTGATGACTCTCAGTATCCTCCCTTGTTCGATATTCAAGGGGGTGAGAGACGAAGGGCCATGAGAGAGGAGGATGATCTCCGAATCAATGGCGAACAGGAAGAGCAGGTTGAAGCTGTTGAGCAGTCCGAGGGAGAACCAGAAGCCGGCGGGAGCCTGGCGTTGGGAGGTGAACCTGAGGAGCGTGAAGTGTCGGGGGAGAGCCTAGGCTTCGAACAAAGAAGGCCAGGAACTCAGCCGCCGATCCAGCGAACAAATACAGATGGGCCATTCGGTCCAGCCTTGGGCGCCTCGGCATTTGGCCAGACTTCCACCAACCCTGTCACTCGAACCATGACGCCTCAACAGATTTTCAACATGCGGTCCCAGGGTGGTTTCAACGATCAGATGCCACCTGGTATCTCCAACCAGACCAACCTTTTCCAATCCCAAGGTCACAATCGACAGTCCTCGCGCTTTAACTTTGCCAACGAGAGCGGTAGTTCTGTGACGAACATTAAGCTGTCAGCGAACCCCCGCATCATGGCGCAACAATCATCAATGATGCCAAATTCGTTTCAATCTCAAGGCAACCAATACTATGCATCGTCAATGCCCGGTCCGCCACCTGGGCTTAAATCAACCGGAACCCCCCCAAATATGTTTGGGCAGAGCGGGTTCGCCGGGTCTGCCTTTGCAGGTACCCCGAAAGATTCATCCAACGACCTCTTACAAACCTTAATCGGACGTACTCGGGGAGCCAACAATCAAGCTCCTGATACTGGAAAGCGTGAGTACATGATCTCTTCTTTTTCTAATCAGTACCCACCCTCTACCTCTACCCCAGCTCCTGCTCCTGGCCTTCTATCGCTCTATGGCACTCAGCCCGGAGCGTTCCAAGATTTTGGTTCCAAGCAGAAGAAGAAGGGGAAGAAGCATAGACATGCTAACACTTCCTCCTCGGGGGGGAGTGGCTTAGTTGATCTTGCGGACCCGAGTATCCTTCAGGCAAGGATGCAACACCAGCCGCAGAGCAATGCCGGAGCCGCACATGGACTGTTTGGTGGTCAGAGCCAAGGTGGGTACAATCCCAATATGATGTATAATGCCGGATATACCAGATGGTAGATGAGGGATGGAACATGAAATTTAGAAAGGCGGGAAGCATAGCGGAACCTCAGGCACACAAGAATGCCCAAGTTCATTTCATGTATAAGAGTGGCGTTTTTGGTTGTTATTTTCCTCTCCCCAGGGCTTGGGTTTTTTTTTTTTTTTCTCTTTTCTCGTTCATCGAGGGCAATGCATTTGACCCGAAATCGTCAGCTTCTCTGCATTTGGAAACAGGTTCCCACAGGAACAGTCAGCCTTGTCGACTTTTTTCTACTTTGACTTGGCGCTTGGTTTTACGTCTGGGAGTATTCAAGGGTCAAGTCAGGCAAGCCATCATCGTCTTCCACAAACCCCTGTTATGTACGTTAACTGGTTGCATTCACCGCCTAGGTCGGTGGCATCTTTGGTCAGAATATACCTATCTGTCTACTATTCTCTCCAGGTTGCCTTGATTTTTGTTGTTGTCGAAGACGATGATGGCAGCCGTAGCTTGACCTGCCGAATTCTTCCTGTACATAAACCGGCATCAACTCATCGTAGCCTCCCCATGCTTCTTTCTCAACGCACTATCATCATATCACACATTCTGAATGAACCTAGGAGCTAATGGGTGTTTCTAGATGACGATCTGCCATCCCTGGATGAAGCTACGAGCTCGGTAGATGCATTGGTGTCCGACGACACATTTGATAGTATCATCCAGTCTGTGTCAGCTCTACAGAACCCCAGCGGTCCGTCTGTGCCGCCTGGATTTGATGACTCCATGGGTTACCGCCCTCCCGGCCTAGGATACGATGCATTTCAAAGCCAGTCTCGTTTCACGAATGCTATGACTTCCATCACAGCCGGACCGCCACCCGGTCTGTCTGCTGGAGTATTGACTCCAGAACAACCGCCTCGTAGTGTGCTTGCACCAAGCTCAACTGAGACGAGACAGGGAGCCGGAAGCTTGGTTGCTGAGAGTGGGCTTGCAAAGATCATGTTAGGCCAGAGCCAGGCAGACCCAGCTCGGCCCAGCACTGCCCTTCAGGAAGAAGATTTCCCAGCTTTGAATGCTCCCAAGTCTGGAAAGTCCAGTGGACGGCCCTCCCTGACTGCTGTCCCAGCAGTTCCAACCCCGAAGGGCACCCCGGCCCTGAAGAAACAGCAACTCGACAAGACAATCAGCACTCAACTTAGTAGCCCGGATCCAAAATCGCCCGTGCTTGCTAGAGCGGACGTCAAGAGGGTTGAAACTCCTTCTCCCCCCTCGCTCAAGACAGTTGATACTCGCGACAATCACGAGAAGCCGTCGAGCGCTCAATCTAGCGCTTTTCCACCTCTTCCAATACCCTCATCGGGCAATGCCTCCCCCTCCACCACGCGAGCGCCCAAAACACTGCGGCTTCTCCCCATCCAAAAAATGGAAGTCCCACCTGTGGCCTCGCCAATCTCCGCCGTGTCGAGGGCGCTCTCCTTGACATATCGACCGGGCACTCCTGGTAGTGAGATGATTAGTGACACAGCTTCCGTGGTTTCGGCGTCCGTGTCTGCATCTCGAGCTGGATCTCCTCCACCATCCAGAGTAGGCGCTGCTGCAGTGCGTACAACCACGAAGAGCCAGCAACGCAAGCAACGAAAGGACGCCCTCAAAGAAGATACAAAAGCGATCGTTGAGGCTCCGAAGCCTGAGCTAGAGGAACATGCTCCGGTGCTGGGTCGAAAGAAGAAGGTGAAGAAGGAAAAGGCGCGAAAGACTGTCGTGCCTCAGCTCCAGGAAACGGCAGCGGGATATGACGCGAAACTTGTCGAGGAAGAGAAGCCCGCGCCGGTGAAAGCCGCCGAAGACGTTGTTCAACCACCAGCTCCTAGCAAACAAGAATCGCAGGCTCCGCCAAAACCAACCAGCAGCGAACGCAAAGCCGAGAACAAGGGCAAGGCGGTTGATCGTGCTCCAAAGCCATCCCCCGTAAAAATCGAGGACGACAACGAGACTCAAACTGCAGAGCCAACCCCCGTTTCAGAAGGCGGTGAGGTTGAGGAAGGCGACAAAAACGAGAAACCGCAGCTCGGGCCGCTTTCTATATTCATTGATATTAAAGACAGCCTCTGGACGGCCACCGTCGATAAACTTCAAATGCTAAAGCCAGTGACATCTGCTTCCTCCAGGGTGGAGCAGAGCACCTCCCGTGACCGCACTGTGTCCCCGGCATCAACTGAGGACCGGGCCACCCGTTGCAAGGACACCGCTTGCAAGTGTGGTGAGATTCAGGACTCCGACCTCACAGCATTGCGAGCCGGAAAACCTGTCCGCAAACAGTTTCACGTTGATGGTAGCAGAATGCTGATAACGCCCAATGGGGATTGCGTTCGCGGGTTGACTGTTGAAGAAGAGAACACGTTCCTGGATTTGCAGAATTCCATTGCCGGCCATGCCGAGCATCCTGGCGCTTTTGTTGCAGCTCGGCACCAACCTGGAAGCGGCGCGTTCTCCCTCATAAAGGGGAGGGCTGTTCCCAATGGGCGTCCGAACATCTTCCCCGCCACATCCCAACCCCAGACACAAGACCCGATCGGAAAGCTCCAGCGAGAGGATGCCCTCAGCTACATCAACCAGTACGTCCTTCCAAGGCTCAACCTGGGCCCCACCAATGTCGGCTGGCCAAAGGGCGCAACCTTGCGGCAAGATGCGGCAGCGGCAAGCCTCAACTCCTTGGCCCCATATTTCTATGGTCCTGATGCTGCTGCCGGCGTTGGTATCTACAGCGCTCCAGACGGCAAGGATTTCAGTACCCCCTCGACAGTTCTTCATCATCCTACTGAGGACGGGGCGGCCAAGTTTGGCAATGCTGGTGTGAGTGGTATGCCTCTGATGAGCGTGGAGGATGCCGAGGGCGCACTCGTAGCAGCCAGAAAGGAAACGGAGAAGCTGGAGAAGGGCTTGAACCAGGTTATTAAGAGAAACCGAAGGCTTCTGGTCGGAACCGGCAACTAAGCATTATTATGTCCTTAGATCATTAATACCCAATGCCCAAACTGGGAAATGTACATCAATGTCAAATCAATTGTAAATCCTATCCAAAGTACCTAGGAGCCACTGCCGGTCAGTTGATCAAACGAATAGGTGCTTCGGGTCTTAAGTGAAAGCATGACTTTGTCGAACTCGTCTGTGATGAGACGCTCTTCGACCTCACGGGAGGCTCAACAACTTGATGACGGCTTGATGTAGCAGCTCAGCCTTGATATCCAGGGCAATAATGAGCATACTCATGCCATACTCCTTTTCCCATACATCTGCCCAATCGTTTGAAGCTTATTCCCCTCACAGATAGAATACCTGGGCCGACTCTGTGGGGTACCCTAGACATTCTACTTCGCCTCACTCTGTCGGTCGCCCTCGTGTCATGTATCGTCCTACCCTTGATTGAAGTAGCACTCGTCGCTGGATTGCTATTTGTGGGGCAATATCGATACAGAAATAGTTATCAAACATTCCGTTTGGAAATGAAGGGGGGAGACTCTGACTTGAAGCTTCAACCTAGGGGATGGCAACGCGATAAAGCAACAAGGTTAGTTGGAGCAACCACACACGAAAGAATTAGACATGTGCGATGAAGACGTGGGGTTTCTCGAAGGCTTATTCAGTTTCGAAATCGTTCTATTGCAGACCGGAGTATCGGTCTGACACAACTCCGGCGAGACCTAAAAGTACCTAAGTAGATTATGTATTTGATAACTGACATTGGAGTCGTTGTCTAATGAAACCCGTCTTCGGCTCCTCTGCTCCATATGCTCATCACAGGCTTTCCGCCGTCGTCGATCCATGCTCTGAACATTCCAGCACAGTTGAAATCCATCAAGACCTCAGCGCTGGCGTCTACGACCCTTCCCTGGCTATCCCGAGAGATGACAGATTCAATGGCGATCATCCCACCTTCGCCTTCACCAGTTTTCCCAAATCGAGATCCCGCGCTGCGCTGGAGCTCGCCTCCTGTACCGGCGACATTGGCAAGGGCTTTCGAAGTTGACTCTGGTTTGAAACGAGCCATGGCGGCAACGGTCCGCGCTGCGTTTGTTCGTAGAAATGAATCACCATTTCCGGTACCAGATACACCCATGGATCTTGTGGTTACCGTGCCTACTACAGGCAATTTTGACGAGACTGGACTGTACAGAAAGGGAGTGGGGAGGCAATCTGCAAGGAGTCCTCTCAGCGAGTCTGATAGACTAAAGAACGGCGAACCATAAGATGTAACCGCTGCTCTCGACATGTCCCATAAGGATGACGGTGCCCCCTCCTCTTCCCACTCCTCGGCCCAAAATCCTGCACCAGGCACGGGAGTGTCTCCCACTCTCCCGGTCAACTTGTTGGTCAAACCTCCAGTGCTCGTCGCGGCGCACACGACGCCGTCCTCATCCATCGCAACTGCGCCACATGTCCCTTGTGGCAGATACTCATCCACCGCCCACGTGGCACCGCCTCTTCCAAGCCTCTCTTGCTCGAGCGCCCTTATATGCTCATCCCAACGCTGCTGCGTGAAAAAGTAGCCCTTGTCGACGATGTCAAGTCCATACTGCCTTGCCAGCTGCTCCGCCGTCTCACCATAGATCTGCGTATGGCCCTGAGCAGACGGGACATCGAGATCACCCTCACCCGTCGTCATGGAGTTAGAAGAAGACACCCTTGGCGCAAGGTCCTTGTCCCCTTCTTCGAGCATGCGGCGGGCGAGCAGGATGGGGTTGCGCACTCGCCGCAAGCCCATGACGCCGACGCCACGCTTCGCGCGGCCGTGGGAGACCATGACCGAGGCCTCGAGCTCGTTGATCCCGTCGCGGGTGAAGACGGCGCCGTGCCCGCTGTTGAACAGCGGGCTGTCCTCCAGCTGGACGACGGCGTGGGTGGCGATCTCTAGGGCGGACGGGCGGGGGTGCTTGCCGTCGCCTATGCCGTCCATGTACGCTGCTGTCTTGGATACGATGGAGAGGAGGGTTGTACGGTACAGTTCGTATTTCTCAGGGGTGAAGGTCTCTCTCTGGACGTTGCCTGCGCCTCCGTGGATGATCAGCCGCGGCTTCAGCTTTGGGCTGGGACTTGGGTGGTTTTGCTTGAACTCCATCTTGGATGGATAAGATTGACGGGTCCTCGCAAACGAAATGAAGTGGTGCGGGCAGGTCGATATGCGATGTGGAAAGAGGGAATAGTTGTCGAGATAAGACAACGAAGTTGATGCAGCGGTCTCGGCAATCTCGCACCACTTATCTATAGCAAATCGCGGGATAGAAGGTGGCACACCAGAACCCCGGCTCAGTCCATCGTAGAACTGGATAAAATTGCAACCACAACAATAAGCAAATCCGAAACTATGTTCGGACAATTATTTTGATAATTTCTTCATTATTACGGTAATTGTTGCTGCTATGCGGAATTCAAAGTCGAAGCTTGGTGTGCCACAGGTTAGTTAGAATGTCACTTGGTGCGCAACCCCTCCCTCCGATCGGGGAGATCTCCAGCATCCCTTCCGAATTGATAAAGCTTTCAGAGCCAGCAGGTTTCATTGAGGGTTTCCGTTATTTACAATATCTCCTATCTTCTTTTGAATCTGGGTATCTTGCATATTTGACGAGACAGAAAGGAAACCCCTGTTCCCGGGGTATCAACACATTAAATATACAGCACATAGCATGCTCATAGACATATCTTTATTCATTCCAAGTACGCCGGGGAAGGCATCTTGCACAGAGCTTTGAAGATGGTGGGGCCTAAATAATATTGTGTAATTCAAATACATATCTGAGTCGCTCGTGGGTTATGCCATTTGAGGAACAGGCACGAATGGATTATAGGCTGGCGTCCGGTTAAACATTGCCCTGTCGAGAGCTATATCGAGGTGATCCGGCCGTATCGCGGGAGTTCGGCCCAGGCATACGGCGAAGCCACCAATTGCTACAACATGTAAGCTCCATTGATGGACGGGAGATGTGAGTTGCGAGCATACCTTCTGCCAAGACGGTGACGTCTATATCTACCGTCATCTTGCGGGACGGCGGTGGTGGCGGTGGTGGCGGCGGAGGCGGAGGCGGTTGCCGTCGCGTCGGGATGGCTGGGCACATGAACGGAAAGATGCTGTTGGTTTCCGGGGCTCCTGGCGCTGAACCGTCTCTGAATAGGGTCGGGCCCATGTTGGGACCGCCGATCAACCTGGGGCCGGTGTCACGGGGTTTGTTGTGAGCAAAGATATCGACTGAGCCGTTGAAGTCATCCAGGTCGACCTGGGCCCTCACATAGTCTGCGTTGGCGGGGATGCGGATGCCTCGGTCACGCATGTAAATCTCAATCTCACCTGTGTCTAAATATTCACCTGTGAAGCCAGGAAATATCATTTGCAGCCTCCGGCCGAGGCGAAAGTTGCCTGTCTCTATTACTGAATCCCAAAAAGGTCCCGTCGAAAACCCTGTGTTATGCGGATTCCGGTAGGCCTCAAAGGTGCCTTGGTTGCCAACGGGAGCCTCGGATGACGAGTGACTCGAGGAATCGGATTGGCCATGTGCATTGGGGTAGTGCCACCCTGCGCCGCCCAGGTTTGTGAAAGGGGCCCTCCAATAGTTGAGAGATTCACCCCGGGCAGCCATGAGCCTGTCCCTTAGACGCCAGGCAATCGACTCTCGAGATTCAAAGAGAAGACAGAATCCAAATACCGCATAATACCTAGCCGGAGGTGGAGACCCCATTAATGCAAGTCTCAAACCACGTTCGAGGATGTTTCGCTGTAGACGGCGACCGAAAGTTAGCTCCTGGTAGGCATACGAAACTGGAGCCTGCAGACCTGGGCCTATTACTTCCATGTAACAGGAAGCAGTTGCAACTGTGACTTCTTCATCGAGGTCGAGATCCTCGGGCATCAGCGCGCTGGGGTCGTAGTCGGGGAAGCTGGCATTGCTGAGCGTGGGATGGGTAATAATGTCATAGGAGGAGTCGATCTGCAGAGCCTGGGCCACCTCGACGAAGCTGGGAGTCGAGCTGTGGGCCGAGTCACTTGGCTTGAGCAGGGGCAGAAGGCGTCTGTGACCGTTGCCGTCGGTGCCATGGCTCACGACACTTGAACCGGACGGATCTGCAGCTTGCGGGTGGCCGGCGCCAACGCCTGCGCTGGCGCTCTCGGAAGCTATTGTTTTGAATTTGCTGCTGATATCCTGTAAGCGCCGTGTGACCTCGACGTTGTTGTTGGACAGCGCGCCCTTGGTGTTTGCGAAATCGATGAACTTTGAAAACTCGTTGGCCATGTTGTTCATCTTCTCGTGGGCCTTGAGGAGCTTATCCTCCAGATCCGTAATCGCCGAGTCCTTGCGCGCGCGGTAGGCCCGTTGCGCCTCGCGGATTTGCTGGCGTCGCCGCTGCTCGGACGGTTAGTGCCCTGAACCACGACCTGGAGAAACACCTGGGGCTGGCCAGGGGAAGGGCGAGACTCGCCTCAGTGTGGCCGACGTCTCCCGAGTTTACTTTACGGGGCCGGCCACGGGCCTTCTTTCTCTGGCTCGATTGCTCAGCATCTCTGGCTGGGTCTGGAGACTGCTCGCCGGCCTCGGCAGTCTCTGCCTCGTCAGCATCCTCCACTCTCGCCCGCTTCCGGGTCGCCTTGGGAGGGCCCCGCGACGATTTCGTCGGCGCTGCGGAGGCTGTTTCTGTAGATGGACCTGCCTTGTCCTGGCGGCGATCAGCCGAAGCTGCATTCTTGGGCATGGGGGGCGCCTGCGGTTTGTCAGACCTGAGAGCAAGCGGCACAGGCCAGTCAACAATGGTTGATCGGGGAAGCAATGGGGGTTGGGGCCAACTACGCAACGAGTCCGTCGGGGTCGGATCAATAGCCGGAGCTATTCCCAGACCTGTGCCTTGGGACGATCTGCCCAGGGTCTCGTCCTGGGAGAGAAGCGGTTGCTGGAAGGTTTGCGGGACGCCGGTGGGGAAGAGACTCCCACCCGCTGGTGGAGGCTGCTCAGCAGCTGCGCTAACGGGGTTAATACTAGAGGTGGTTGCAGCGCCTGCGGGGTCTTCCGGGAAGATCTGAGATCCAAACTCGAACGTGTATGGATCAGGGAGCAGCTGGCTATCCGGCAGGCCAAACAGGTTGGTGTCAACAGAGAACGGGGGATGAGGCTCGAGAAAGAGGTCCGATGGCTGCAGCTGTTGGGGACACGGGGCGTTAAAGAACTCGTGTATTTGAGGATGATCAGGTTGGAAATTGGCCTGGGCAACGGAGCGCGGGCTCCCAGTCGGCAGTGGCAGACTGAGCCTAGACTGGGACTGACCCCCACAAGGACTGCTAAGACTCGTGTGGCTGTGGCTATTCTCATCTTGGTCCTGGTGGCCCTGGCTCGCCAGCTGGGACCAATCAGCCCCGTCGGCGTCATCGTGAGCTTCCCACATGGCCGAGGAGGTTCTTCTCTGCCTTGATGCCAGCTCTTCCTTCTAGGCCGCACCCGAATTGGGCGGACAGCAGGAGGCGGTTGAAGTTTATGCCTGGCAGGCAGTGACCGTGTACGCCGTGTGGTGATCTTTACGCCCTGGACCGTGCCATGAGGGACGGCGACCGTGCGGCAGGGTTACGGGGTTGGCCATTCGCCGTCATCGGCATGCGGGCGGCGGTCTGGGTTCAGCTGAGGAATCGTTTTTGATATTCAAGGGCAGCAATGAGGTTCTGGAAGCTCCGGACGGGCCACTGAGTACGCCTAAGTGATGGATATTGAGAGACCTCGAGCGGACAGACATTGTAGATCAGACCGTTTCTGTTAACACCAGGAACAACGGCCGGTTTAAAAATTCCCGGATGGGCAAAAGTGACATCAGGTACACCGAATATCTTCGGACTCGATTTAGCTGACTCAAACTGGGCTGAGCACGGGAAGGGAGACAGGGAGGAAGTTGCACTTGGTCGCCTACATACACGAGGCTAAGATCGCTGTAAACAAAAAGGAACGAGGGTGAATCTAGTATAGTTGGCGGAGTCTCTCGCTACGCTCTCTTGGGACGAGTCCATGCACCTTCACTGTTCGATCGTGGTGGAGGAACGCCCCGGCTCTCAACCAAATCTCGACCAGTACGACTGGCGGTACCAAATCACTTGCACACGGGAGTGTTGGAAATATACGTGTAGAGTGCTTGTAATTGCTAGCATAAACCAATTTGCTTGTACAATTTCTAGCTACATCCCAATTGCCACCCGCCGCCTTCCCTCCCAAAGCACTAGTAGGAGAGATAAAATCATGGCGACGTCTAGATGTGTGCAATATGGGAGTCGACGCAAACCTCGAGCTGATCTTGGTCACGCGGTATGGTCTCAAAATTACACGTATCCAACGGCTAGGGCGTTCAAGTATCAATAGTAGGCTGCCCCTATCAAGCGAATGGACTGAAAGTGGATGGACTGATGAAGGCGGGAACTAAACAGCCTCATCACATCGTCATTACACCCTCAATCCACTTGCTGACCAGCCGAGTCTTGCGGAGCTAGAAAACTACTTGCATGGCACCTCATAAGCTCATTGGACGATGGGAAATACCAAGATCCAAGATCGCTGGACTGGGCAGGGGTCCTCTCGATCTGGCCAGTTGGATGACGGTAATGAGCCGTGCTGAATGCAAGGAATCCAAAGTTCCAATTCTGCTTTCTTTTTCTCGTGCGCCAAAACAATGGATATGATTGGGGCCATGCAGCAACCTCGCTTGGGAAACATTGTTTCACTCTGCAAGCCACCTCTGCCGTTGGCTGCACGAGACAATTTCGGTTGTCGGTTGTCGGTGTCTTGTCGTACGCATTCTGCTCTCAGCTTCCAATAAATCGAGCCCATTGGCACAAATCAACAGGGCATAAATTTAGGTTCTAACGGGTTATTCTCGCCCGCCCGCTTTATTAGCTCCCGTTGCTATCTGGCGGCTCCCTATGATCCGTGTTAATGAATACATAGGTACTCTCTCACCGTTTCGTTACAGTGAAAAACGCACGTGGTCTGGCTCGGAATTCTAGATGATTTCAGACTACTAATCCATCATAAATCATAAATTCTCATCTCAAGACTGTACATTACTAACACGACCATGTCGGAATATTACCTCCCCCGCCGGGTAGCCTTGGCACATGCCAATTGAATAGTGGGGCCCGATCGCCAGGTCTTAGTTTCCACACAAGTCTGCCTAAACAGAGCCTAATTTCGACTCTGTTTTTAGCAATCTTTGGTGAATATCAAGGCTGTTTGTTGTTGTTCGCCAATCTGTTGACAGAGACCCGTTGTTAACCAGCGGGTTATAATTCTCCCATTGAATTCTGACCACTCGGTTTCCTTTCCGAACTCTCTCATGCCATATTTCAATACTAGTTCAGCACATGTACATCACTCACCGATGGAAGGATCTGCCCGGGCTGCAAGTCTTACACCTTATCCCACCATCTGCTGCGCCGTTGGCACTGCGTGGAGCTTTGGGCTGAACACCAATCTGAACACCAATACGGAGCAGATGGCGGTCCATTCGATTTGCAAAGATGAGCTCTGATTTGTTCATCTTTCTCCTTTCTCCATCGTAGCTGAGATGGCGTCCAGCCACATATGCAGGTGTAAGCCATCGAAAGCCTCGGCTGCCTGTAGTCGTGAGTGCGCCACCCATCTGCGACATATACGAGCAACGGAACATGAGCGGTCTATAGGTTTTAGTTCACTATTGCCTTTTCCAATTGGCCATGTGATCCCACTTACCCACCCATACTGTCGTTAGTCGCACGCCGTCCCCTCCTCGATGGCTTGAGTGCTCACTTTGTTGCTCGTTGTGTGATGAGGTGACTGGAGGAGAGGAGAGGCATTGGTTCGGTCACGTTCCGTTCCTCTCATGTATTCTCAACCGTCTAGCAAGGGCCAGAGCTTGATTAGACACCGAAGATTGGTCGTCTTTGAAATGTGATGATCGTTGTCCATTTTACATGATATAGTACAAATCTCGTCTCGTTAGTAGAGTATATCATAGCTCATGCTGGACCTCGTCTGTGTGCTCTGATTGTATCCCTATCCCTGGATGCACTGTACTCGCGTGCTGTTTTGTTGCCAGTATGATCTAATCCGTCCATCCACCTAATCAGCCGATACTCTTGCAACTCAATCATTTCGGCCCACACAGGTGAGATAAACGTGTCGTTCTCATTTCCTTGCGCCGGCTCGGCGGCCGCCCCAAGTTTCTCCCTCGCTCGGTGCCAAGCCCCCAAGGCAGGCATGGCCGCAAATCTCTCGGATCTCGTTTCCTGCTCGGCCAAGGCGTCCGCCTCTGATTTCATTACGCTTACGGGGTTCACTGGCGAATCCTTGCCGCGACCAGAGCGCTCAGCATGCTCGTGCTCCACGATCTGATGGAATGCATGGCCTCGGGCCACCCAGTCATCCCAGAGCTTCTCCAGGGCAAGCTCATACCAAAGTCTAGACACGAAAACGGTCCATTGATGGGTTTCGCGGCGCTGTGGAGCGCGAGGCTGTGTCTTCGTCTCACGTGCTATCTGGTCTTCGACCAGTGAATCCCATTCATCCTCTAGTAGAGCCTGAGGGAGCTTTTTTTCTGCCACCTCCATTCCATCTATCCTCTTCCTCCACAGGAAACGTCTCCGGCTTATTATTTGCCCAAGCACGGGCGGTTGTGGTTTCGTGAATCGTAGGAATGGGATATCGAAACTATCTGTAGCGAATACGGGAGGTCGTCCTGGCTTCTTCTCCCCCTCAGGTCTGGGGTTCGGGACATATGCTGGCGGCTCCCCAGGGCCAGCGACCCGGCGCAAGAGTGGGACATGGGGTGTTGTGTTTCTCGTTTTCGGGTTTGCTCGAGATGATCTTAATTTTCGAGATTCGTCTGCTTTCGAAGCTCGTTCAGCGAGAATGCCAAGTACTTTGGAATGCTCGGGAGATCCTGTGGTTTGGGCTTTTGTCAAGACAGTTAGGAACTTGAAGCACGAAGATTAGCTGTTGTCTGGAGAAGATTACATGGATACAAAGACGGGCATCAATTGTGAAGTACCCTGTAGCCTGTAGCTATAGCTGAGTATACGAGTCTAAAGCTTGTGTATTTGACATGATTCGCAAAGCGTTTCTTCACCAGGTGAGCAACGGGGTGGGTTCGGGCATGTTTGCTGAGCTCTTGCGGAATGGCAATCTTTTGTGAAGTTCGGATGAGCGCTCGGTAGAGGGAGAGAGCCGCAATACGATGTCGGGAGTTTTTGGCTGCAACGAAAACCTGGCGTCCCTCGCGCATGTTGGATGGTGGTGTGTCGGTTGCTGCTATGAGATAAATGGTTGATGGAGCCTTGGATCATTGACTCGGCGCATGGCTAATGTGTATCAATTCGACATGTAGATTGAGAGGAACTTCGGATCCTGGTTGACATGAGTAATTGAAAATCACAGCATTGCGTAATGGGTCGGCTGTGAGCACATGATGCCGTTCAATTTCATGAAGTTGTCGTTTTGGGTGTCGTCGATGAATGTCAAGGAGCGAAAAGTTGGGTACAGTGATGACTAAGATTGATATCGGGACCACCACCAAGTTTGTCCTACAGAGCAAAGAACTGTGACAGTATTGACCATCTTGGATTATTATGCCTCTTATTCCTAACACGATTTATATCATTGTTATCTAACAGTAATATTCAATCTTAACCACTGACTAATCTCAATTACACGATGCTGCTTCTGAATATGGTGATAGGCACTGGAAAGCTGAGATATTGAGAAAACAATTGATGTACTCGCATCTTGCAAGATATGTAGGCATTCATGTCTTGCACTAATTTATATCAGCGTTGATTATTATGTTCCGATCAATCAATCCTGGGTCCTGGTCGATTGTGATACAGTGGCAAATATACTTGCCAGGCTGCTTGTTTCTCGTTTGGCCATACGGAGGCTGTTAGTATCAGATGGATGTCATAAAACGGGAGTTTTACACGGGGGCAAGGGAGCAACGCGCTAGCAAAATCAGATTGCCGCCCGAATTCCGCAGCTATCGGTGCTGGATTATCTAAGGTCGGCATGCAAAGAAGCCCGAGACCGATGTGAGGCTCCGCGGGTCTTTTTTTATAGCATAAGCATTTTGGCGCCAGCGTTGTCGCGTGCTCGGAATGCTCGGGGGGCTATTGGTCATATGAACTACATTTTAGGGCGGCAGAGCCGGAAGCTCTAGGAGACGCGGGATATCAAGGAGTTGGCATGAACAGTCAGAAGAGCCCCTGAGAATTAGGGAGATTGCCTGCTGGGTTCCTGACTCAATGGCGATGTTGAAATCTTTGATGGTTTCGTGCGTAAGGCTGGCCAGCCACAGCATAAGATGGTGGGTGGGTTGAGATGGCATTATAGGCCAGGGTCACGGGGCCGCCGAAGCAAGAAGGGGAAACAAAAAACAGGCGAGACGAAATAATAGAAAACGAAATAAAAGACAATGCTAGAGTGGACTGTTTCATTAACTTTGGCCTGTTTTGCAGACGCAGAGCCACGGTGTAAATCATTTCTCGTGTTGCTCTGTCTTAATCGGATCCTGCAACTCATTGGCAGGATGATGACTTGGTGGGCTGCTATTCGCGGATATTAGAGGCTAGTTTCATCCACTATCCTCTAATAATCCAAGCCCTGAGCCCCCCTTTACTGGGTCAGACCGTGTGATCGCCATCCCCTTTGAGATGTGGCATGCATACCGTGCGATTCCTTACCGCCGCGAGGATGGAGAACCCCTGCTTTTCGTACTCGTACTTGGTGAGATGGGTAAGGTAGGCCGATTATCTGGGCGCCCTGAAAATTACGTATCTATCATACGACCATGGGTCGGGCCCCCTTCTCGCCCACTGAGATCCGAGTACGACGGCTCCAGGCGACCGGGTTCAGCTCGCCTGCAGCCCCCGTAGAATGGCTGAAGATGTCCCTGACCCTAGTCTCGAGACCGCAACTTCAACATCGTGGCGCTGGCCAATGCCTGGAATTTACTGCCTGTGCACACCGCGGGATTTGAGATCTCGTAAGATACTGGCCCTCGCTCACCTGAGGGTGTTTGTTGTACAACATGGTGCTATGCCCGCCCTGGTCGTCACTCACTTACCGACCGATTTAGAGCCCACCTTGCCGAACTCCAGATTGTGTGTCTCAAGGCATTTTTCCAACTACGGGCCCAGCCTCAGACAAATGCCCTTTCTTTTGCCAGACGCCTTTTTGAAAGCTACAGGGCGCCCGGGCAAGGTTTATTAAATCGCGGTGTTCTCTCTTCCTCTCTTTCCACATTTGTGAACCAATCGAGCCTGCAGTTGCTTGGTCTGAAGCTTGACGGCCAGCAGCCTCCGTTACCTTCCGCCTACCTCCAGGGACCACCAGCTTACCGCCATTCCCACCTCTCGATATTTACCTTCGTACATACGCCTGAACTGGGGGTTATACCAGGGCCTGCTACTGGTATACATTCAATGAGGCCGTGATATCGGTCTATATTAATACTTCGCTCTCCTCCCCAACAAATTCCCTGACCGATCCTCTTGGTGCGCGCCATCTCAATTCGCCCACATCCCATCCCGTCGTGGCTGGCAAAACACCTTATACGACCACAATGTTCCTCCACGCCGGTGCAGGCCTCCATGGCCATGAATTCTCAGGCCAACAGACATCTCAACCTCAACCAAGACGATTCCCTCTGCTCCGGTCCGCACTACGACCCCTAACTGTCGAATTCCCCGAACCCAAACCGCTAGAGGTCTCTTCCTCCTCGTCCTCGTCCTCTGGGCGGCGATCTCTGTCCGATGACAGTCCGCAAACATTAGTACCTGCCCGTCGACGTCAGCTGTCGGAAGTGACAACACCCAGAAGAGAACTCTCCGTCAGGTTCCAGGACCCTCCTGTAGACACAGCACCGTCTCCAGCTCCTACCCTGACGAGTGACGACGAGTCCGTTGCCGGATCTGACCGCAGCATCACCAGCAGCAGAAGGAGGAGACAGAAGAGACTTCCGGGCGACTCGAGCCGCTTCGCCTTGGCTCATCCCGCTCCTCACCCCCGGACACGACGAGGGACACTGGTCCAGATCCGCCCACGAGTGCTTCTCCAGCTTCAAAGGCTTAACGAACAACGACCAGTCCCAGCCTTTGAGGTGGTCCCCTCCAGCATCGTCTCTGGCTCCATCATCATCCCCAGGCTCGCCAAACGATTTCCTCGAATTTTTCGCGCCAAGGCTGAGCTCGGGCCTGATGATATTTTATTTCTCCGGAGCGAAGACTATAATTCGCCATCAGTGAACTTGGACCCTGATGAGGACCATCAGCTGGATAACAGAGATATCATTGCTGTCGTTTCCCCCCTACCAGAGCGTGGTGATGACGGTGCTGAAATCGTTTTGGAAGATGGCACAGCATGGGCAACGAGCCTGCTGAGCAATGGATCATATGAGTTCAGATCGGTGGATAATCAAGGGCGAGTGACGGCCGCACGCTGGGTCAAGCGGGAAGCTCGGCCAAAAATGAAGTCTTCAGACTACATGGACGCTTCACCTTCACCAAGCCCAGCTCCCCCGGAGTATAAGTGGACTTTCAGTGTTATTGACCCTTCGACAAGACGCCATCCTATCCTTGGTGTATTAACGAAGAATGAGCTGGAAATCTATCACACGTACTGCACTTTATCCTCGTCCAGCGGACGAAGCCCCCCGACCAAGTCTTTTGATGTCGCCAGGAAAGAGCGCATCTTGCGTTCAATGACACCCCCGGCAGAGGAGCGGGTCACCGTACCTGTTCCTGGGGAGCACAAGAGGCTCATGATGGTCACTGCTAGCTGGATTAGTCTGCGACAGGAAGGCTGGCCTGAATCAACGCACTCGCGAATTAGACGAGCCATGCCAAGGTGCAGGTCATCCAGCGTCAGCAGCAACAACACAGATCATCGCCGTTCCAACACCCTACCTGACCTCTCAACGGCAGGCCTTGTTTCACGACCACCGGTGGTCCAACGAATGTTCACCGACGGGGTCGCGGCTGGCCAGGCTCCAGAGAAGCCAGGCCTCCAGAGGCGACTGTCTGCGGGCGCAGCTTTTATGCGCAAAAGACGACTGTCTCTGGACCTCAGCGAAAAACCCAATTTTGAGATGGATGCAGCAAGTACTTTTACAGCAAGCACATATGCGGCGAGTACTTACACAGCCCCCGTCCCCCCAACATATCCTACGACGCCCAAGGTGGCGACGTACGAACCATACAGCACACCACTTGTCCCGACAGAGGACAAGTCAAATACATGCCGCCTTGTAGTGAGGCGAATAACGCAGCGAATCAGGCGGATTTCAATCAGCAACCGTTTTGGAAGCAAGTAACGAATTTCCTTATTTATTTATATACTTATAAACATTCATGTATCATAGAGAAAGCCTAGCAACTGTTGATGAAGGGCCATCATTGAATGAGCTCCAGATGAAAGGAAGAAAAAAACTTTAAATACCTAATTATGTATCTATCTACATCTACAAATATATCTATATTTAGCCATCTGAAATCATAGGCCCTCTTCCCCGTGGTGACGCGAATCCCCCTCCCCCTCCGCCGCACGCATTTCAACAACTGAGCCTGCTAGTGTGTCGGAAACTCGGAATGCGGGCCAGGCGGGAGCGGCAGAGTGGGGCTTCCCCAATCCGGAACATCAAAGCGTGTCATTCAAACCCTGAATTTATGTAGGCAGGAAACTAGCTCTGCATTTGCTGAGGCGTGGGATCTGCCGAGCTCTGCCAGCGATGGCGAGACGCATGTGTTGAGATATCACGTAGCTCGCGTTGAGCTGAGTGTTGCCAGCACTCCTGGTCAGCCGGTGCCATCCGACTGGGCCAATCCAATCCGTCCTGGTGCGTCGTCGACGACTCAGCTACTGCCTGCGGGGTCGTGTCGTGTGACAAACAAGTGCGCGACCAACAGCCGGGCGGCCATTTTGCATGCTGGTGGAAGGGCGAGGAAGGATATCGACGGGCTTCGCGGCGCCTGATTCGATCTACCGGCATATGGCGCGCGTCGTTGGAATCGCAATGGCAGCGCCAAGGGTAGATTAGGTGACAGCTGTCGACGTCACCAGGGCCCCTAGGATTATGCGAGTCATCACTGCCTGGTCGTGGGATTGAGCGAGTGTGTGTGGATTTGTTGTTATTCAGTGGGATATTAGAGGTGCTATTGGGATTGAAGACTCGTGAGCGTGCAGAGAAGCTTCTGGAAACTTGGGTCTGATATAGCTTCATGGCAAGCGATTAAGAGGCATGCTTGATTCACGGGCAGGCGATCATCATGCTAAGTGGCTGATGCGACTTTCACATGATAGCTGTTGATGGTAGGAGAGGGGTATGAATCAAAGGGTTTGTTATAGGTGTTGACCAGTAATGACGAACTGGGTTAGTTACGTGCGAAGGTATTATTAGTTTATGGGCCTAGAAGGACTTTATCGGGCGCATGTGCATCCCCAATTCCACATAGAGATGTGCGGGAACTGAGTTGCGAGGGCTGCATCAAACGCAGTACTCCTGCTGCAGGAGGTCCATGATGGCAACCTTGAATGCTGGCCCAGTTCGCAGGCTGCCGCAACGGCCTGCAGAATGACTGGAACTTGTTTGGCGTTTACAGTGGATAGGCGCCTTAGCTACAGCACGAGACAGACCTGAAGCTTGACCTGACGTTGGGAGGCCACAGCTGCTGAAGGTCCGTGGTGGCGGGAGGATGCCCCACCGTTGCGTGAGAGCTCCCCGGAATTTTTCTAGACCCGCGGGCGGTGGTGGGTGCGGCAGAGGCAGTCCAGCAGTGGTAGACGCTGAGGGCAGCTGCGGACATTGGGGGTCCTCACCCACCCTTCCAATCCTCTCTTCGCTAGGTCCAGGCTACCACCCGTGGTCATCATCACCGTCCAGCATCCACATTTGCTCTTTTGTCCATCGCACCCCCCTCCCGCGTCCATCGTCTCCTGCACAAGGCTCCAGATACTTGAATGGTGCGGCGTTGTCTCATCAAACCGGTATCTCTTTGTCAGTTGACGACACTCGCCAAACTCGGCCCTCTGCATATCCAATGGGCCTCGACTGGATCTTGCATCTCCTATCCTGGTCTTGATTCATGCATGTTTGCGTCGTAGCTGAGCTCCGACTGTGTCAGACCATCCACACCCGCATTCTTAGGACGGCGACGACGACGGTATCGACAGATATAAGAAAGCCATCAATCAGCATATCCCGCCCGTTAGCCGCCCACCCCAGGCAGTTGATGACCACGACCATCCATTAATACTGGAGCTTTTTTCGAGATAACCCCCCAACTGCCACGTTGGAATAGGCCTCCCGTTGTCCCCGTCTCACATTAGTGTGCGGCCATCGACACGGCCATCCACCTCGTCGCTATGGATGACAATCCTGGCCCTCGCCGCGGGGACCATGCTGGCGCTCTCTCGGCCTCGACCGCCGCCCACCTCTTCGCCAACTTCACACCGTACGAACCCATCTCCCGTGCGACTACTCCCGGCATACCCTGCGCCAAAGTAGACGATGACGACAAGAAGCGATATCGGCCACGAACCTTTGCCTACTTCAGGCAGTTGCCGTTCGAGGTTGAAGACGAATCCGAACGAGATGCTGCTCTGCAGCAGATTCTAAAACAGCTCTACATTGCCATCAAGGCTGAGGACTTCAGCCCAGGCGCTTTGCACTGGACAAGGGAGCTTTCAGCATGGCTAAATCTCAAGTTCGAAATGACGAGAGAAGACAGAGCCAAGCTTGCGAAGTTATACTTTAGTCTTGCACTTGCACCTGGATTGGACCATGCTGCCTCTGACCGTTTCTTGCGGATGGTGCTCACGCTCACAAGGTTCGTTATTGTCTCGAGCCTATTCCACATCCTCTTGAACGGAATTCTGTACTAACTGGTAGCTGTAATAGAAAGAGCCACTACCTCAAACCTGGAGAGGACCTCACGTTCGATTGGCGACCCCTCTGGGAAGAGCTCAGGCCATGGATACTGTCCTCCGAAGCCCCACCCCATCAGACCAGCCGCCGACGCTCGATGAAGCAACTGCTCAAGCTGTGCACACACGCAAATACATTCTTTGATCCAAGTGAGCGTCGCCAGATGCTGGAGGTGTTCTTGCCCTACTTCAGTGTCAACGATCTGCCCAATGCCTTCATCGTCATTGGGTTGCTGAATGCCCTCTTGCCCAGTCAACCTGCCCCAGAGCATGATGTCAAGTCGCAGCCCGGCACCTTCTTTCCTACTCTGTTCCATCTGTGGTCGATCTTGAACCGGTCTAAGGTATTCGACACTTTTGTGATAGATTTGTTTTCCAGAATGGCCAGGGACCACCTGCACTGCTCCTATGTGCCCTTCAATGAGTATGGCATTTTCACCAAGGAGCAATCCAATCTCATTTTCACCGCCATCCTTCGCTTGACAGGCATTCCCGTTGGCCAGGCCAGTTCACCGTACACTGCCCTAGATTATCTGGCCGGGGCTGCCGTGTTCCTTGAGAAAGACAAAAAGAAGTATCCAATTGCGTACATGCTCTCCCGTCTAATTGTGTACTCCCTGTCACCCCTGTGCCTGGAACACGAAGAATCTACCATGGCTAGCTTAGAGGGTCTTATGGAATCGATTGATACATTTTTCCACCCCTCGAACCAGGGCTCCTGGACTGCATTGCTAGGCCAACTTACGCTCTATCTTACGGATTCCTTCGTTTCCCGTTGGAACCGTGAGCAGAGCGGAGAGCTTGATATTCCACCTGAGAGAAGGATCAATGCCGCCCTGAAGAGACGGTTTGTGGCTTCACTCAAGGAAGTGACCTTTATGGGTCTATTTTCCAAGAGCGGGAAAGTCTCGCACTATTACTACAATGCCTTGCAGGGATTGGCATTCTTGGAGCCTGATCTGGTGCTACCCGGTGCGCTCCAACGATTTTATCCCAGTCTTCAGGGTTTGGTGGAGGTGCACCGAACCACTTCGAGTTTGAATGGCTTGCAGATGATTGCCAATGTTATGTCAAGACTCAAGGGATACCGCTGCCACTTAACCGCCCTCCTCGCCCTGGCACTGCCTGGAATTGACGCAAATGATCTAAGCAAAACTCAATATACACTGGCCTTCATCCAGAGTGTTGCGAACAGCATTCCAATGGTTCCACTTATCAAGGAGGAGGGCGTCCATGATACCACCTTGGCTATGCAGTGGGTCCAAGGCGAAATGGAGCGCATGGAGCGCGATGGCCAGAACGTCAAGATTGACTACAATACAGAGCTAACAGACGAGGACGAGGAACTAATTCTCAGATCCTCGACGGCTGGATTCGGTGAATTCCTCATAACTCTATTAGGGAAAGTCTTTACCCTTCTGGAGAACTTGCCTGATGCCAATGATGCTCGAGGGGCCACACCAGAGGACAACGTTATAAATGCCCTTCCGGCTGCTTTCTCACCACTATTCGCATCACTCTCTCCGGAATTGTTCGATATCGCCCTTGAGAAACTAGCTACTTTTGTGTCTAGCCATGTGATCCATCAGGCTCGTGATGCAATGGCGTGGATCTTGAATGCGCTGTGCAAGATCAACCCAGAGAAGACACTGAAAGTCTTTGTTCCCATGCTTGTCGTCAATATTCGTAACGAGATCGACCAGAACAATGCTGCCTCAGACCGAACATCTGGCACAGATTATTTACCGAGAGATCGAGCCTTGGTCTGGCATATTAGTATGCTTGCTATGACTGTTGTCCATGTAGGACGTGAAGTTCTCAACTACAAATCAGAGCTTCTTGGTATTGCCGAGTACATGTTAGAAAAGTGCCGCGGCTTGCCTACCATCTTGGTGTCCAACTACATTCATCATCTCCTCCTCAACCTCACTCACACCTACGCGATTGACCATGCCCTGTACGAGCCAGAAGTCATTCAACGAGGTGTTGATATTTCCGATTGGGGCCGATCTACAACCCCGGCTGACCTTACAATTCGTTGGCACCAGCCCTCTCCATCTGAGATTGAATTTGCCGTCGAGCTGTTCGAATCCCAGACCAAGTCAGCTACTGAGCAATTGGAGTTGCTAATGAGCGACAACCCGCCAGTTAGCAGATCGGGAAAGAACAAGGAGTGGTCTGACGAAGCATCCAGACAGCTTCAACAAATTCGTCTCATCACAGCCGGTATGGCGACTTTGTTTGACCCGAAGCGTGCTTCCGGAGATCGAACTGGCGAAGCCAATGGCACATCAAAGATGGAGGTAGATGGAGATGGGGAAGATCTGATTGAGGATGACGAGCCATTGGCTGAGGTTGGGGAGGATGAAGAGCTCCGACCTCAATTTCGCGCCAGGGCCGGATATGCGCTCACTTCCAGTGACGCATCTTACCAAAAGATTCATAACATCCGGGATGACCTTGGTCTCCTCCTGTCCAAATTCCATGGCTTTTTGAGAGAGAATATGGAGGATGATGTCGACTGCTTCACTGCACTGTACAGCGCTTACCGTACCTGGATCACAGATGTGGGTATCGAAAGATCAGCCCACCCTCTGGATCGTCATGTTAGACTCTACAGGTCCGATATATCTCCATTCCAAATCAAAGGTCTGCGAAAGGTATATCCCCGACCGCTCCTCATTAAACGGGCCGAGGCCTACCAGATGCTCCGTATGAAACACAATGCATCGGCAAGACAAAAGAGCGATATCGATAAGCGCTTGCTCCTTGATCTCGCCCAATCTTGTTTGTCATCATACGCTGATGTTCGGCGAGTCGCACAAAGCTCCCAGGACTCGTCCCTGAGATCGTTAATTGGTGGTAAACCCCTGGTGATTCCAACCATCTTGGAAGGGTTCCGCGAAGCTCTTAACGCCGTGGACCATGACCGGATCAAGGGCGCCATGTACACGATCTTGTACACCAGTCTTGTTCGTACTGTGATTAAGGACTGGAGATACGCACCGGAAGCGATGCGGCTCTATATTGAAACCGCCGGTATCGACAAGCCATCTATTCAAATTCTCGGTTCATCCGCGCTGTATAGTTTGCTCGAGTTTGGAAAGTCCGTGGAGCAGATGGTTCTGGTAAATGATGACTACCTAAAGACGATCGAACCATCAGAAGATGTCTCTGCGCCTATAGCAAAGAGAAATCAGTTCATTCAACAGCGCCGAAAGCGCGTGGAAGAGTCTAAAGCAAAGCTGGGCCTAGAGCTAACAGAAAAAGCCAAGGGGGCACATTGGAAGATAGCGACCAGGTGCTCGATATTTGCTGCCAATCTCTGTCTCCGATTCAGCGAGCTCGCTCTTCCTGAGTTCGTTGATCTTGTGGTACGGGGCACCATTGACCCCCACCCCGGATTGAGAAGCTACTATCTCAATGCTTTCACGACCATCTTCACGGCCATCGACATCCGTGCTGTCTATGGTCATAAGTATCTCAACTATTTGACCGAGAAAGAAAATGGCCGAGATAGGATTAAAATCTCTGTTGAGAAGGGTGATGCCGACTTCACCAGTAGATTCCTGGAAGCCTTTAGTCACCCGGAAAACGCCGAATACATGGTCGATGCTGACTACCCCGGATGGCTCGTCTGGGGCAAGCAGTTCACTGCTTTCAAGGCCAAGCCTAGCCGCTTCGAGGCATATGACGAGGTCGAGACTGCCATCAGGGAGCAGATTGGTGGCATATTGACCAAGAAATGGTTCGCCCAGTGCTTCGAATACCTCAAGCAAGAGCCACGAGATGCGTCCACGGACAGATTCCGCATGAGCAATGTTTATCTCCTGATGCATGTATTCGATCTGTTGCACTACGGCAAAACCGCAGCAACCCTGGAAGATATTGAAGATCTGGTTAAGAATGTATATGGAGAAGGTACTGATAAGCATCAACATCGCGCCACTTCAGAGATTTTAGGTGCCCTTCTCTCAGGATCCAGCGATGATCCACCGGATATGCGCAACCGCGTGTGGAAATTTGCTGCGCCGATGTTCTTGAGAATTCTTTCCGAAGACTTGACCCCCGAGAATATCTCATATTGGCTCACGTGCTTGCACATGGTCCTTGATTCCAAGGATCCCAGGCGCTGCCATGAGATCACTTCTGCCTTGAGAGATTTCAAGCTTGACATGACGTCGAATGCGGCTTTCAAAGAGTCAGCCAAAGTTCAACTCCTCGAGTTTGTCATTTCCGACGCCTCTTGGCACTTCCGTGATGTGCAGCCTATTCTCGATGACTTCCTCGGCCACTTAGATCACCCTTATAAAGCCGTCCGCGAAGCCATGGGCAGAGTGCTCTCGGTGATCTACAAGACCCGGTACCACGAGTCATTTGAGAATGTGACCAAGCTACTAGAAGCAAATAAGGCTGCTTCGTCCATTGGTCTGAGACCATACCGCCCAACAGAGGAATTCTCGACGACCATCAAAACTATCTTCGATCAGCTGGAGAAGTGGCGTCATGAGCGCGAACCGGGCCAGCAAACACCCTCGTCCTATACCTCCGCCTCCAAGACCGTCCTAATGTGGCTGGACTGCACGCTATCCTCGCACGAATGTATCACCTTGGTCCCCTTCTTCTCCGATCCATTCATGGGACAACTGTTACATATGATGGATGTGAAGGAAGACCCCGAGCTTATGAGGCTGGCCTACCATGTCTACAGACACTTCCCCAATATTCCTTTCCGTGATGGAGAGGATGCTGAGTTCATCGATGGCTTGATCCGCATTGGCAAGACAGCTACCAGCTGGCACCAGCGTCTACGTGCATTGGTCAACATGCAAGTTGTGTACTTCCGCAGAATTTTCCTCACAAAGAAGAAGCAGCGTGATCAGCTATTTGACGCTGTCTCGGAGATGCTGAGCGACCCACAGATTGAGGTGAGGACCTCGGCCTCAACGACGCTCGCCGGTATGATCCGTTGTTCACCGCGTCCTATCCGTGATCCTATGATTGGGGTCTTGAAGAAGAGGTTCGAGGATCAGCTGCGAAAGAACCCGATGCCCAAGCGCAAACTTCCAGGCGCAGAGACCCCTGTGAACACGCATCAGCAGATCGCCAGGCGTCATGCTGCTGTTCTCGGATTGGGGGCATTGATTGAGGCGTTCCCTTATGCTACTCCGCCCCCTGAATGGATGCCAGAAGTCCTGGCAACCCTTGCCAGACGGGCTGCTGGTGATCCTGGTACTGTCGGCAAAGCCACCAAGATGATCTTGAGCGAGTTCAAGAAGACAAGGCAGGATAGTTGGAGTGTTGATCAAAAAGTAGGCCACCCTCTTATTGACCCCCTTTTTCTTCCACATTGTGGAATATCATATGATGCGAGTCAATTTGTGCTAACCTATACGTAGTACTTCACGCAAGAACAACTTGAAGATCTTGAAGGAGTGCTTTGGAAGAGTTATTTCGCTTAAGGTTAAAAGATGGGTTGTTTTGTTCAGTTAGGAAACGAAGATTGGAACGTCTCTTCTTGGCTTGTAGGCAAGGCATGGCGCTTGGTTGAATAGCTGCCTACAAGAACATTTGTGATGAATCCCTAGGATTGGGTTTATTTGAACCCTGAATATCTACCTAAACCACCACGAGCTTGCCTCAGATTAGTAGAGTGGTGAGTGGTGGGTATGCCAGGGAGGGATGGGAAAAGAATTCCACTCACGGTGATGACACTCAGTACTCGATAGACTTTTATGTTGATGAGCTGGAACGAAATGACGAGCACTCGCCCTAATGGACATGAGGCTTAATAGTAAATAGATTAAGTAATAGAGCTTGCCGTTTCTCATCCTTGCAAGGATGAGGGCATATTCAGCCAGTGAGCCATTGCGGGTGTTCCGCTGACCAAGGCAGCCTTAAGTATACTTTGGCAGATCAGCACCATCAAACTTAACTCACTGATGAATGAACACGAGACAAACTGAACTTTCGAAGATATGAGCGGTCGTCGATCATAGGTAAATGGAAAATCTACCAAGGCCAGTTTGCCCATTAGGCAGCTCGTCTCTATCCACACGACCTGCTCTATAAGGGAGCATGACCTCGTATCGGGTCAATGACCACTTGTTATCCAGGTGATGGCATTAGAAAATCGAGGCTGAGCCACCAAAGATGGCCTGCCACGGCGTTGGATGTACATGAGAGGGAGTGTACGACGACGTGAGTGTGGAAAGGGGCTGGGCGAAGGGCTGAAGGCCATTAGTTTAGCTTTTTTTTTATTCCAAACAATATTGGTGGAAATTCTTCCTCCAAGGCGTCAAGCATGAAAACAAGAATCAATACGGGGCTATGCCTCTTTTTCCCTTTCGTTTTGAGTCTTGGGAGGGTTTGCGAGCAAGTAGTGATGACAGTTATGAGCTCGCAAACAAAAAATTACCCTGACAGGGCAGAATATGAGGACTAAGGGGTTCAAAATTTGCGTCAACTTCAGAAACTCGTTTGACGAGTTCGCATTTGGTTGATTGTTCATGTTGGTTTCAATCTAGGCTACAATTTTCAATGCCATCTAGTGGGAGCACGGGTGGAGGAGGCTAGTGATGGGCAGACTTGTAGGCATCCGTGATGTTTCCGCACGGACAGATGGGAACAAGCAAAGGTGGTTGGTTGTTGATTGCAATGCCAACTCGGGAATGTCAACTTTGAAATGGGCCCACGGGGCATTGATTTGATTGAAACGGGACTGTGCACGTTGGTAGCAGAGTTTGGGGCTGCGCAGGCGGGATGTTACCAAACGCCAGACTGCTACCTCACACCCCGGTCGCAAGGCGGCGTATCGCACAATTTCACGATTCGATCTCCTTGCAGAGGTGGGGTGAGAGGGGTTCTCTGATGTTCTTCAATGGTAAGTCGAGGGAACCAACCCTGTAATCCAGATTCAAACTACAAGGGACCTCACCAATGGGACTTTGGATAGAGGAAGGTCAGTGCCTTGCACGCTTGGCAGACTTACAGACTGCATCCGTCACCTGGCTTGAGAATTGGCTCCTAATGTCAAAAAACGAATCTGGTGATCGTGATACAGAGAGCTACGCCGTGGCTTGTGCAACGGGAGGGAGTCACAGCGGGACAAACAAGAGGCCATCACGCAACTCCCCTGGCAACACCAGGACGCTTGTCCTGGACAAGCAATTTTCCACTTCTAGCGCCGAATGGACGGTGCATGGGCGCTTGAACAATAGCAAGCGGGATGCCTTGAGAGCGGCGATGCGGGTCTGAATGCCATGAACCGGTGTTGCTAATCCTGTCCAGTCGAAGAGCCAGGCTGAGCCGCTGAGGCAGTAAGGCTGATGTGGGGTCGGGTGCCGTTGCAGAGTTGACAAAGGGGAAATATTACTCTGTCCACCTCCATGCGTAGACGGTGCTGGCGGGTGAGGATTTGAGCCTCGTCGTTCTATTTTCATTCTGCCTCGGCCCCGAATGATGTTCCTCCATGCCTCCATGGGGGGGAGAGGGTGGGGGTGCCTGGCGCCCGGAATCTGGTGCCGCAGTGGCTGAGCGTCAAATCTGTCTGTGCCTTGAAGGGCCAACTACGGCCCAACTCTAAGCGCAGTGCACGCGCCCTATGGCATGCATAGAAGGCAGTTGGTTGCCAGCAGTGGGGAAGCAGCACATATGTGAAGGCAGTGGTGATGTCTGGCAGGTGGTCCTGGCTGCAAGGGGCTCGCACGGGAGAGGCAGCAGAGAAGGGCTGGTGCCGGCAATCCGGTCGCGTGGAGCTTTGGCTGTCAGACGGGTCTGGCTATGCCCCAACTGAAGTTGCGAGGTGGATGACTTGGGTCTGTAAGAGGCAGAATGCGATACTGGTTCCTGGCGGTGATGCCTGGAGCTATGGGGAATGCGGAAGAAAGGTGACCGGAAAGAGTCACCTCGTCAACAACACCAAGACGAGCATCGCCTTGTGAAGGGCTGTGTTGGCTTGTTGGTTATTCAGATGAGATAGATGCGATGCCTGTCCGTCAGCTTATCCCCAGATCCAGTGGAAAGAATCGAGGGCGCAGGTGCCCTCATGGCCAAGACCCGTCTCTGTCTGACCTAATTCTTCGTGAAGATATCTTGGAGACTCCGGACCAATCAAGCGCGCCTGGCCTGCCATTGAAACCCGATGCGTTGGGTGGTGAGATTTCCATCTGTTTGTCGAGATGAAAGCCTCGGTGAACAATGCGCTGGGCTGGACTGATGAGTCTGTGACGTAGAACGCCTGATTGCCCGCAGTAACGGCAAATAACACACTGCCAGGTATGAGTCCCACCCAGCTATTTACCTACCTGAAAGATAGCGCACGGTTTGGCTCAGATAGACCCAGGGTCCAGGGTATGCGGTGCTGGGGCTGGGGAGGGTGTCCACTGAAGACAGGGGCCAGCAGTGGGCGCATGTTGGCGTCGAATCTGGCTAAGCGGCGTTGTTCCATATCCACACGCTGTGCTGTCCCTCATCAGTCGCCGCAAACGATCACCGCGCCTAGCTCAGGTACCTGTTTCCTCCGGTTTTGGCTGGGGTTTGAGCTTCTGCATGGAGTGAGGATCAATCTTGGCTCCATCCACTCAATGTCATGCACTCGCACCTCGGAACACGCCCACCTCGTGCACATATTACGTAGGTGCCTTGCCTTGGAACGTGCAAGATATATATCACCATTACCCTCCCTTCCACAATCCCCCTCATACCCCCACCACAACACCAGAGCATCCGCCAAGAGTTTCATCACCGACTTTCCATCACGCACACAACAACTCACCCATCCGTTTCACACGTCTTTGATCAAACGACGGGGAAACAACAGGCTGCCAAACCTTGGCTGGATTCCCTGCTCTCATTTACCATTGTATCTGGAATCCGGAAGTCCTACTCAAAGCTCGCACCCCTTCCAACCATATAATGGGCGTCTTCTGCTCCGCCAAGAGACTGTCGGAAGGTCGTCAGGGCCGGGATATCAATTTGGACCCTTCAACAACCACAAGAATAGCTATCCATCGGTTCCATCCTTTCAGAAAACCCACTCAAAACACACACAATACCGCCATGTCAATACAACAGGATTCTGAAGACGACAGGATAGACGCACGTCGTCATATCGATACTCACCACGCAGCTTTGCGTCGTCCAGAAGCCGCCGAGGCAGCTCAGAGAATTGGAAATACCATTGACTCCGGCTTTCGAAGCAAGGATGAGTATTACAAAGCTCGCAGGCAAATGTTAGACATTGACAGGGCTGTCGGCTTTGACCACAAGTGCCGGAGTAGAGCGTCAAGGCTTGAGGAGGAAGTCGACATGATCATCCAGTGTTTGAAAAGCCAAGACTACACAGAGGTGTACGGCAAGGCCCCCGCGCGTAGAGGATTCGGCGGCCAGCTTCACAAGCGTATCCCCGGAGACCATTTTCTCTCCAACGTGGATCTGATCGGGCAAACGGAGATCTTCAACATTGCCCGGAGGATGCCCAAGGGAAGCCACTTGCATATCCACTTCAATGCCTGCTTGCAGCCCCAAGTGCTGCTTAACATTGCGAAGGACATGGAGCGTATGTGCATCAGCAGCAATCTCCCACTTATCTCCGACAATCACTATGAGAACTTTGACCGATGCGAGATCCAATTCTCGATCAAGGCCGTTGGTTGCGCCACCCGAGGCAATCTCTTCTCTTCAAACTACGAAGCCCGCCAGTGGATGAAGTTTTCAGAGTTTCTGAGAATCTTCCCCAGCAGATACCGCAAGACAGCAAATGCCAACGCAATGAAGTGGCTCGCTTCCAAGCTGGTATTTGAGGATGAGGAGGCACACAATTGCCTCCAGACAGCAGAGGGGTAAGTCAATCTCATCATTCATCCCATTGTAACACTGACTAATGTTTTTGCATATAGTGCCTGGGAGAAATTCAACGGGCGAACAAGGATGATGAAAGGTCTCTTCAACTATGAGACAGCCTACAGAAGGTATACACGGTTGTTTCTCGAGGATCTGATGAACGACAACATCCAATACGCAGAAATCCGTCCAAACTTTATGAGCACCAATCAACTGTGCCGTGACGACGGTACTGGTTCCATCGACAACCGCGGCATTATGAATATCATTATCAGCGAAGTGGAGAAGTTCAAGGCAGAGATGGTCAAAGGAAACGGGCTCTTCCAGGGCCTCAAAGTCATCTACTGCACCCCCCGATCCTTCTCACCCGAAAAGGTGAAGGAGGCACTGGATGAGTGCATCCAGTTCAAGCAGGAATGGCCTCAGTGGATTGCCGGTTTTGATCTCATTGGAGAGGAGTGCAAGGGGCGGCCGCTCAAGGACTTCATTCCTGAACTATTAGAGTTCCAGGGCAACTGCAGGAAGCTCAAACTGGATATCCCTTTCCTGTTCCACTGTGGCGAGACTCTCGAGATCGGCACCGACACCGATGCCAACCTGGTCGACGCTCTTCTCCTCA